TCAACTTTTCCATTCACTTTTCGTGATAACGCGTCGTCGACGTGGTACGGGGACGTGCGTAGTTTTTTTTCTTACGCGATTCTTTCGGTTTCGGTTACTTTTCTGGGATCAGGGGGAGAATCGTGAGGTATTTTGCTTTCTTCAAATTTATTTATGATTAGTTATTCTTCTTATTTCTCAGCTCTCTTTATTTCTGACTAATTGCTGGCTTTATCTTTCGACTCGATTATTTCGCTTTCAGTTCCTTTTTTAAGACATGTGAGAGTTATTGTTATTGTGAATTGGAAAAGAACGATCAATTTTACGGTAAATGGGCAAGCCAATATTTTATTCCATTCAAATTGTTGCTTTTATCTTTCGACTTGGATTATTTTGCTTTAGGTTTCTTTTTTATGATAAGTGAGAATTGTCCTTGCAGTGAATTGCAACAGAGTCCTCAGGTTTGCAACAGATAAGCAAGGCGATATTTTCTTTTATTTAAATTGTTGATTTTATTTTTTTAACTTGATTACTATTGAGAATTACTACTTGTTTGCGACAGATGAGCAAGGCGATATTTTATTTGATTTACATTGTTAATTTTATTCTTCGACTCGATTACTACAAGTGAGAATTATTCCTGTAGTAAATTCGAAGAGAATCCTCAGGTTTGCGACAGATAAGCAAGACATTTCGTTTTATTCATTGTTCATTTAAATACTTGATTATTTATTTACTTATCCATTCGTTGTTCGAGGTATAAGTAAGAACAGTGTGATACGATGGTAATATAACGAGTTTGAAGTTGGGGAATTAGAGAGGGATTTAGTGCCTCAATCTGAGATCGTCGATTGGATTCATTAAGCAGTACGCGCTAATAGAACCGGTGAAATTTTACTGTTTATGCAAGTTTATCGATAACGAGCTTGTAATTTAAGTACATAAAGATTTACCCAGCGTGAATATCGATAATTAATTAGAATAATCGTGACTTTTATTCGGTTAAACTTTATAACTCTCAGAAATGACGGAATTACGAGCTTCATATAAACCATTCACCCAGGGAAATTCCCCTCAGTTCCAGATTTTACGTTCTAATTAGTCCTGTTCATTTTCACAATAACTTATTCATAGATTCTATAAATTTCTATTCTCGATTTTCTAATATCCTTCGATACAGTCTTTATATAAACTTCTATATTCTCTAAATAATCGTTAATTCGGTTATATATCTACACTCTTATTGATTACCTACCAGCTACCACCTGTTCTACCATTTCAAAACAGAATGTCACCGCTTCTATATTATTTACGTTATTAAAAATATTCTAGACACAACATAAAAACAGTAAAAATCATAGGTTACTTTGGAACACGATCAATTTAGTTAAAAATTTTAATTACAATCTACATTCCAAGTATAATAAAAAAAAAGAATAAATATGTAGGTGAAATTTAATAAGTTTCACGAAAAATTGCCTCGATGTCGATGTTTTAAACCGAATAATTAAACGAACAATATGTCCTACCTTTCCCTTTCATTTGTTAATCATCTACCTGCAGGCATAAACGATACAGTCCACAGGGAAGTGATAATTTACTGGCAATGCTGGCTACTTGTTCGTTACACGATTTTCCCCTGGCTGCCGGCCGATATTTCGTCCGATTTGACGCTGTTTTGTATTCAAACAACAGCTGCCTCGGTTTCGTTCCTCAGACAAGAGCGTCACGCTCGCATACAACCGGCCCGATATACGATTCCTATCTTAATTGGGAATTTGCTTATTCCGATAATAGTCCTCTGTATCTTGGTTAAGTTTAATCGTTGATCGCCGATGCGCGAAGAAAGTCGCTGGAGGATGAAAGAGAGAAAGAAGCGACAAGTGTGTATCGCCGAAAGCTACATACAAATATCAATCGACCGAGAACGATTTATTCTATCGCGATCGCCACTGATAAACACCCTTCGATCGAAAATTTCGAAATTTTCCACTTCGTCCAATCGAAAGGAAATAATCGAACAATTATTCGTATCGATAATCGTCGCCCAAAATTGTTCTGTGCATTTTAAATAGTACAATAGTTAGATTAAAGTTGCCGTTTCATCGGATTGCAAAAAACGGCAGAAAAACGAAAGGAAAGAAATTACGAATTAAAATTGAAACACATTTTTCGATTGTAAAACCACAAATTTGAAGACACTAGCCTTTCGAATCGTTTCAAACCGCGGTGTCAAATCGTCGAGTAATTGTGCCTGGTATTTGTCGATCAACGGCCATTCGAACGCCTGATCTATTTATTTGATTACACGTATGTAGGACGAGCTGGAAGGTGGATAATCGCGATGTAAACAGCAGTCGTACTTCGAAGCGGCACTGGGGATAATCCGTATTTGCAAACAGAAATTTAAAGGTTCGTCTCTCGAACGAGTGTCGAATCGAGTCGTCTACCCTACTCGTCTGTTGGAACGCGAGTTTAGAGAACGAGGATTCTGGAATAAATCGACGAACAATGCCGAAGAGAACGATAAATGTCATATGCAATCGAGGCAAAGTTACCATAATTCCGAACGTCAGTCAGTTTTCAATTCGCGTAAGAACCTCCGCGACGCAGAACAATTTTCAAGTTAAACCGCGAGGGGACTCACCTCTTGAAAAACGCACGCGATGCTCGAAATCGTATCAGCCAGGCCGCGCGATATTCTTCGAAATAACGCATGACGCGACGCAAGTGTGTCGACAAACAGCCACACGTTCATTGTCACCTTCGATTACCTTCGATCAACGAGCACGCCTCGCCCCATCGCGATCTCGTTCGTCGATTCGCGGACGCTGAAAACGTCGGCGACGCATGGAACGGTCGGTTCCGTCCGGCGATTTCACAATCCCGATTCCCCGTGTACCAGACATGCGTACATAGCTCGCGAACGAGACTTCCTCGCTCCACCTCTTTTTACGCGCGTACGTAGAGGCCACTTTTCGACACTGATGAGAGCCCATGGTCACCGCGGAGAAGAGTACACCAATCACGCCGGCAGAATTGCTGTCCTCAAAAAACGCGACGTTCTCTCGAATCGTCTGAAACGAACAACGGACACGATCTTGCATACATAGATCGACGATCTGAGAGAAAAAAAACCACACGTTGGCCACCTGTCCACCACCCATGGTCCCTCTCTCCGTCCATAACGATCGTCGCGCGTGGAGCGATCGATCGATATCCCGGCGAAGAACGACCAGCGATCGCGGGAAAAAATCGAACGTCGCCAGGGTTAATCGGTGGAGAAATATTCCGGTATCTTTTCGCGGCGGCGTCATCGCGCGAACTAAAGAATATCGCAGTT